GCCGGGCCGTCTAGAGATTGACATTCTGACCGCAACTTCCCCAACTCTCCCCTACCCCCCTTCCCCCCCCTCCCGACCGACCGTGACAACAATAACACTTTATCTGTCCACTAACCACCATAGTTAATTCATTTCATTACCACATAAATGTAAAGGCCTGACGAGAATTTATCGAAAACAAACGTATGTTCGCCAATTTGTCTTATGACATTTTCAATGGCAATTTCCGCAAATGTAATCACTTTGCATATTTCTAGAGTGATCTTGCGTTTAAAGAACATGTATTTTGCCAATTTTTGTTTCCCGTGTTACTGAAAGTAGGAATAAACTCGACTGGTCACATTTTCTTTGATCACACATGGGTTCCCGTCCTGAAGCAATTTTAGACATACTTTACCAGAAAACCTGGCATAATAAAATGCGCGCTGCTATGCTAACTAAGTAAAAGTAACTAAAAGGTTTTTTTCGGCTTGTAGCTTTAGTGCAACATTTATGAGTAGCCTTCACCTATTTTGCTTTAAGACGTTTCTCTTTTTCCGCCGTTCTAATTCCGAGCCATAAATGATAGCGTCTGAGAACCCCACAGACGACTTTATAGATGGTTTCATCTGCACATTTTAGGCAGAAGTTTATGGCTTCGACATCGGTGTACAACAGGTAATCGTTCCTGCGTGAGACTTTCGCGAATCGCACACTTTCCCATCGTCAAGCATAAGGAGAGGCACTGCGCTCAATGCTCATTCGCAACATATTTAACAGAGAAGAGATAGGCTCCCTTGAGAACGTTGATTCTTGGATGTGTGAATTGAAAATTCCAGTAAAGCTTATTGACAAACTTAAACGACTCAAATCCTAGAATGCTGAAATGACGGTTTCATTCGATGTGTTTCGCTCTTCATATCGATCCCTCTGGGGTTGGCGACACGCTGCACCAAATAACTACTGCAAACTTACACTACTGACGTCCCTATTAAGGCTTTCTTACAACTACTAGACCAATCCGTCGAGACCAAATTTTCGTATGCGGTGAATGCTACCAGCAGGTTAAAATGGATTTCATGGGTTCGTTCAAATATGGCTTGATGGCCGAAATTATAATGCAGAAGTTGAATCAGTATATATGTCAATCAAATGCTAGCTACGCTGCGTATATGACATATTTGTCATCATCAAGAAGAATCAATTAGACATCCTTCACTAGAAGCTCAATTCTACATTTCAAGGAGTTGGGTTCACACAGGAAACGGACGTTGGTGGTCAAATCCTATTTCTGGATGTCCTTTTACATAGAAATACTGATAGATCATTCCGTACACCAGTTTATCGTAAAGATAAAATATTCAGAAAGTTACCAAGCACAAATGAAATTCTCGTCAGGCCATTACATATCTGATGTTGTCGAGAGCCAACTTAGAAAAAAAACACATATAAGTTGCACACCAGCTTGCAGTCACTTGCGCTCACAGCATGTACTTCCTGAGGACAGGCTTAGCTATCTTTAAAGTAAAGATTTTGCCTACAAGATCCTGTGTGCCAATTGTGATATAGTGTATTACGGCCAAACATGGAAATAACTGTCAGAAGACGAGACCACTTATCCCAAATGGCCATGCACGCATTACACACTGGTCCCAATTTCGCGTGGAAGAGCACACGTATTGTTGGTTCTTGTCCAACCAGAAAAGGCCGAGAATTCCTTGAGGCGGTGCAGTCAGATGTGGAATGCATTAACAGGCATATCGAGGTGGACGCAAGCTTTAATTATTTCAAGGCCAAAGTTCAACGCGCGCGGCCAACTACTGCAGGACGACGAAATGTATGTAACGCCTATCGGCGCAGACTTGAGCTAATTGTACTGAAATGTGTGACGCGCGGTTAATGCATTTAATTGTTCCTACACACATCTCATAGTCCGAGGACGCGCTGAGGAACCACCTTCGAAAAGTCGCGCATTGTATATTCAAGAGTTGCCAAGAATAAACACATAACAGTCGTAAAAGACCTTTGTGGGGGCCCTGGACTTTGCTTTCTTCGAGAATTTAAGGAGTCACGCTATGTTCTGCTTTACGTACTGCCAACAATCATTCATACATGTTAACCTTCACGCATGTATATGCGGCCCGTCAATATTTGGTAATCGTAATCTGTTTCCATATTGTTCGTTTGGAATGTTCCAAATACGCAGATGCGGAATTTAAGTCATGACGGCGAACAACTTAGCCTTTTTTAAACCGAAAGATACCCCTTGTTTAAGTATAAAATTTAACGGAGGCATAATTTTCTACCAAGCTAGTGCAAGAAATAATTTTTCGTGCATGTTTTCCAGAGAATGTGTTTGAATTTACAAAGGCAGTCAAAATCAAAAGTAAAGCGCATGCTACTTTAGTGGTTAATTTTTGTAGTACATACGTTTTGTTAGTAGTCAGCCCGAAGCTACTTAAAAAGCCCGCATCCTATCATGAGTGAACTAACTTCAGAAAAGACTGCATGATTATTGGTACCACAATCTGAGTCAAGGTCAATCAGCGAGAGAGTATAACACTTTCGTATATGTCGGTATGTTGCAGCAATTCTGGCGTGTACTGCATATATAGTTAACATGTTTAACTTTTGTGGGCATTATTCACTAAACAAACAATATTAAGTTAAAGATGCTGCGATAGTTGGAATAATCCCTGCTGTTGCGCACATTCGTCAGCAGCTTACAAATAACTATTTTTAAAGGAAACATCTACAAGTGTTGTTTCGACAGAAGGACACTGCCGTTAAAACGTAGTCAAATGGTCGTATCTGACTTATTTGCCGTCACTAGTCAGTGATATATAACCCCCATCAGCCGAAGAAAACGAGACGAAAACCTATGACCTGGGCGACGCTTCCAACCAATTCATGAAAGATTCAGCACATTGAAAGTTGGGAATATTGATACCTGGCTGATGATGGTTAATACACCAGAAAGCGGCAGTGCAACCTCGTATGTCCTGCGGGTCCAAGTCATTTGACATATAATATGCTAGCAATTGATTGACTGCTGGCTGGACTCGAGATTAAAGTTCGAGGCAAAACGGATCGAGAGTGTTTCGTAAACGATAGTGTGGGCGGCCATCTGGTATATATTCACTCACTTCAGTTGAGTCAGAGAGGCCTTGCGGAACATACTCTACCAGGTGAACGAAAAGACTACCAGTTGTACCTATATTTAATTCACTGAATGAAAACACACATACGTTAGACCGCAGATACTGCAATAATAATTCCACGATTATAAGCTATATTTGTAAAGTTAATTCGGCCTTCCGCAGTGTACGTATAATGTGGAAACCACTAGGAAGTAGGGGATCCACTTCTATCCCTTTAACAATTGGGTCATGGCATGTTATCGCAAAGCAATATCTTTTTCGGCATCTAATATCACGTAGATAATGTACGTTGAAATGGCGCATTTTACAATTCTATTCACAGAGAATATGTGCATTCTCCCAAGTTTGCATATAAGTTATGCTGTATTACAGGAATGTTCAGTGCAGCCTGCTCTGGACATTCCGTTTAATCCGGGCCCAAAATTCCTCCCTGAAATTGGAGGATTTCTTCGAAGTAGCCACCACAACTCACCTACGTGGCCATCCCTACAAGGTCACTAACGAAAGCACTCGATTAGACCTCCGACAATATTTCTTCAGTCAACGCGTGGTCCGACCTTGGAACTTGCTACCAAGCAAGACGGCTTCCGCTGACACAATTGTGGAGTTTAAAATAAGACTCGCTGTCATTCTATTTGACAAAAGGCGACTTTTACAACACGATTTC